ACCAATTGGTCAAGGAGGAAGAAGCCAAGGAAACGTAAAGCGAATCTCTATTCCCCAGTGTCATTCAGTCATCCTGCCACCTGCGACAAGGAATGGTTCCTCTATCTTGCTGCCCCTGACCTGAAGGGCTGGTGCCATCTGCCTTGCACAAGAAAGAGAGAAAGTGCTGTGGCTGTCTGCACACTTGTGCGCATGCAAACACATATACACAACACAGGACTGTGTGTCACCTATCAAAAGTTTTAGACCTGAGAGCAGTAGTCCAATGCAGTCCAAGAAGGGAATGAGCAAACACTCAATTAATGAGGAGCTTCTGGACTGGAAAAGAGAAGGAGAGATGCAAGGACACAGCCAGGCCTGGGCGTGATTTTTTGAGACTTGAGCAGCTTTGGAATAGAGAGACACACAACTAGCTAATGAATCTTTATGAAATGCAGTTATCTTCAAAAGAGGCTTGCTTAACAAAACTAGGCTAGGACTTACTAAAAACACTGGCTTTTGATGAAATGTGCCGAAAATACTGGCTTTGAAAAGATGAGATTGTGGTTAATATGCTCGCTGTGCAGCAACAAAGGGTAAAGAACAGCCATGGATTGCTTCTCTGCATTTCTCCATCTTTGACCCTTCCTTCTGAGGCTGGGTGTCGGTTGAAATGGCTCAGAATGCAAAATGACAGTGGGAATCGGTCCCCTTGTTGGCCACTGATGCTGGACCATGCGTGCTGTGGGCTGATCCAGGAAGTCTCTTACCACTCTAAGGAGCTGTTGGAACAAACCACAGGAACGGGACCTGCCTGTTAAGATGAAAAGGAAATCTGCTCTCTACTGCAGTCTCCTTGACCGTGCTGGCAATGAATCTGGGGCATTTGAGGCTCCACACAGCTGGTCAGGGAAGGCTGGATTAGCACATTAGACTAGATTTCTACCATATGAAACTCACAATCATGACCTTAGGCCAGTCACTTTCTCTGTCCACCCTTACTATTCTTGAACAGACACAGGAATAGTTGGGCACGGGAAGACTCCTACCCATTTTCATTTGTGAAATGTTGAAGGATCCATGGACCTCTGCCCAGAATCTCACCAAGCTTTGAAGAACGGGAAGACTGAGACAGTTGATAGGTCATTATCACTGCTGAGTAGGGCTATCAGATCCAGGCTGCAAGCTCCAGATGATGACTAGATAGCAGCTCCATACATCTCTGCTGCCATCTGGTGGTTGCCCCTATTTTTGCAGCCCAGGTTTGGTAGCTTTACTGTGGATGAATTGCTCCATCAACACCGCAGAGTGTACTTCCAGACAGGAGGCCTGAAGAGCAAGACCTTGGTTCCAAACAAAGTGGTGGGGATAAAAACTCAAGAGAAAACTAGAACAGATGGTGCCTCCCCCAGATTATCTTTTAAAAAAATATTAGTAAGCTCCTTTGCCGCCAGATTTCTTCTCTTCTTGCGTTATCTACAGCCAATGCTTTTAAGGGGTTCTCATGGGAATTTATGGGCACATTTAAGCAAACAATATCACAGAGAAAGGTTGAGGAAGCAGGAAAAAAAGAAAACACTCTCACTTTTTCTGTGTATTTTCTTCTTCCTAACTGCATTTAAGCCACTTATACAGAGATCTTCAAAATATTTATCCAAAGAAAATTTACAAAGGGGCTGGGGATTTCTTCTCACTGCAATACTGCCTGAAAGGTATTCCAAAGGGCTCCAACTGAAGAAGAAAAGGGTTAAGGTTGAGACAGACTTTAGCTTCTTCTCCTCTTCCCTGATTCAATTAATTACCTGTCCTCCCTGCTGACGGAATTTGCATTTTTTTTCATTAAAAAAATCCCTACGTGTTCAGTGGAACGAGGCATTTACTTGGCCCCAAGGAAACAGGCTCCCTTAATCCTGTTCAGAATAGACAAGCTTTTCCCACCACCACCCCAATCCCTCCCTCCGTCCCAGCATTTCATCCTGGTGCCTGGTCTAATGCACAGAAGCGGTTTCTGAAAAGAGACGTTTCATTCCTGTTCTGGTATTCAGCACTAGGCTGCACACAAGGACGTTGCCAGCTCCTTTAGCAATTTAAGAGTCAATTAGACGCATTACCGTTAACCTGGCGAATCCCATCATTTTGAGTGGTTCCCCAAATTAGCTAAGGTTGCTGCTACATGAAATAGGCCCTGTCAAACTAAGTAATCGTTCCCTCCTTGGCACAGATGCTGGGGGCACACGGGGAGGGACCCATAAGTCAGTACCAACAAAAATGTACACAGTAGAACAGTATATCCCTTCAATTTTGTTTTAAGAGAAAGCCACTTTGAATGCTTTACATGGAATATTTTTCTCTCTCTCTCAATAAATAAATAAATAAAACATGAATAGGATTTTGGTTTTTTACCAAGGAAGAAAGTTTCTAAGGGGCTATTCCCAACCTGGGGCCCCTCAGAGGACGCCTTCCTGGTGCAAACGTGTTTGGTTTTTGAAGAGCCACTTATGAGTCTTTCCTCACTACAGAAAGACATCATTCTTCACCCACCCAGGAGGCAGCAAGGACCTCCATGACGACACGGAACTGGCTACCTTATGTTGCCAGTCCTGGGCCAACACTTTTGGTCCACAAAAGCCCAGCAGCAAAGAGAAACCGGGGGGAAAGAAAGAGCTTTGCTGCCACTAACGGTCATCCCAAGCGTTCCAACCGGATCCCACTCCTGCCTTGCCTCTGTTGGCCAAAACTTCTGTATAGTCTAACCGATTCTACACGTCTTGAGGCTGCCCTTGGACGCTGCAGCAGCAGGAGAGAAAACACTCCTTTAACACCAGGGAAGACTTGGGCTTGTCTTACTCATGAGCTGGGGACCAGATGAAGATAACCACTCAGAGATTCTGCCAGGCATGTTTTGGCCGTGATTAGGTGTGACTCAGCCTTAATCGAGTAACTTGAAAAGCAGAAAAGTAACTTCCTTCCCGATTCTCTAATTCCATCACATCGTACGTGTGCCACTAGGAGGGGCACTTAATTATTTTTACCCCACCTTTGCTTCATTATAGGGGCTCAGAAAGGAGGCTTCAAACCCTTCCTGGGCTCCCTGCGTGGGACTGGCTCTATCTCCACTCAGAAGTGACTTCATAAGCAGCTTGAAGCCTTTTCTGCATCCAGGCACCTTCTTCCTCCCTGATCTGTTTGCTTTGATCCGTGCTGGCTTTCCTTAGTTCCTGCAAAGCAACCAGAGGCATCAAGGGAAGCCTTGCTAAGCCACAGAGAACACGGTGCTCATTCCAATGCGCCCTTTGGACACACTGCAGCTTAACGTAATCCTACAGGCAGACGGGATCTCACTAAAGGCATTAGATATTGTCCAAGCAGCGCTTCGGCTAATTCGAATGGGTGCCTTGGTGGGAGACAACTACAGATAGATGGTTTGCCATCTAGTGGTTGCAAAACAGCCCCTTTGCACAACTGGAGCACTTCACAGGTTTGGGATAACAGATACCTCAGAGACTGCTTTCATCTGTGAGACCAGCACTGCCGTCCGTAGCGGCAGCCATTCTCACCCTCCAGATGTGTCAAACTACCACCTCTATAGCTCCCAGGCAGCACACTGAAGCTTGTGACTCAACGTATCTGGGGGGCAGGGGGAGGGAGCAGGTGGAGAAACCCCTTTATGGCTTATGACAGAACTATAACCTTGCAGGGCATCCTGGCTCTGTTCCTAGAGGTACTAATAACCAGCCAAGGGTCTGAAGGAAGTGGGCAGAGCAAGTATAGCCGGAATGGAGGAAGATGGTGGAATGAAAGGTGGCAAAACGTCAACATTTGACAGGAACCAGCTGTGGCGAGAACACCAAATGCCAATGTGTCTTCAGCCATCAACGCCCGTCTCCTCCAGGATCTGCCTAAAACGGGGGTAGGCAATCTGGCTATCTCTGGATGGGCTGGCCTGTGCTTCCCATAAACTCCCCCCAGAACACTAGGGACAATCCTTGTTAGTTATTCTTGTCAAATAACATACAGAATTATTGTAGACCTTCCCTTGTAGAGGTTGAATCAGCAGCCCCCACAAGAACCCTCCATTCCAACCACGTATATCCATAACTTTAAGACTGGCGCAGTGGCAAAACTCATTAATACTGGCATACAGGAGCTGAAACAAGCAGGGAAAAATCAACCCAGTGAGCTTCGCAATGGCGATAGAGACTTCTGCTCTTTACAAGCAAGAAAGCTCCCTGCATCCAAGTCGTACTTCCTGTGAAGTGGAGAAGATTAACGCACTCATCCGCTGCTCCCAAGAAGAGATAATGATATACAATTTTACATCTGCTCTCTTGGCATAATGGCCATCTAAAAGTGTCAAGTAGGGAGAAGGGAAGAATCTATTTGAAATCAAGCACGTTTCTCCTTCCCTTTCCCTCTTTCTTCCTTCTGCCAAGGTAGGTGTGTGGGTCATTTAGGTTACTGCACTGGAACCTGATTAGAAACAAGACAATGAAGCTCAGCTCACGTATTTGAAGGCAAACCTCACTGAAGCCCACAGTCTCTCTGTACCCAGCATTCGCAGCACGAATCACTCAGAAACAGGAGAGAATGAAATCAAGGTTCCAAACTACTCAGATCCAAGGGATCCACCACGACCAGGTATGTGTGACGGCCCTACCTCAAGCAACTTCTTCTCCCTGATTTTTAAGCAGACTCCTCTTGAAAAATGACAATTTTTACCCTGATAAGGAATCGGTTCCTAGAACCGCTGCTTCAGTTCTAGGAACAGAACAAAACACTTTAAGCCAGGCACTGTTCCGGGCGGTTTATTAGCTTTGTTATTTTTCTGACACACTCCCCCCCTCCGGAACAGAACAAAACACTTTAAGCCAGGCACTGTTCCGGGCGGTTTATTAGCTTTGTTATTTTTCTGACACACTCCCCCCCTCCGGAACAGAACAAAACACTTTAAGCCAGGCACTGTTCCGGGCGGTTTATTAGCTTTGTTATTTTTCTGACACACTCCCCCCCTCCCCCCCGCTTTTAATCCTCTTCGTTTTAAAAACAAAACACAATTCCAACCAGAGACGTGGCTGGCAACAGACACCTTCTCCGAAACAGCTGCCAGCACCCTAACAGCCTTGCATATTCCTCACGGAAGCACTGAGGGCCGCCATTCCGTTCAGCTCCCGCAACCGGCTGGCGTGCCTGCAAAAAACGCAGAGAGACAGCAAAACCGAATAAAAAGTGAGTGGTGGGGCAGAGCTGAAGGCAGCCGCTGTAAAAGAAAGTTCTGCGCAACAGTCGAAAGATTTGTCGGCAAACAGAACGAAGAAGCTGAAATTTCTACATGTTCTGCCCCAGACATACCAGAATGAGAACGTGGCATGTATTTCAGGCTGAGGGGAAGGACTTCTCTATTGACAAAATGGGGTGACTTCATGTCCTCAGAATCACTGCTCTGGAGCCTGTCCTCATTATGGCATCACTTCCCTTTTGCTGGGTATCATTACATAGCGCTTCTCCTCCCAAACACATTGAAACTCCTCCACCCTTCTTGCATGTGAGGAAATCAACCCCAGTTCATGCAATTGAATGCCAGCCGTTTGCCCAAATACCTTGCTTGTGCATCCGCTTAGGGGATGGAAGGACCATCACACACAATGGCTGTGTGAAACTCTTTTTAGTTTGGCTGATTCCCTTGGTCAAACCAGGATCTATGCCTTCTTTATACTGACTGCAGATGGAGAATCCAACTGATTCTATCAACAGGATTCTACCAACACCTTTCTGATCACAGCCAAGCAATCTTACAGTCCCAATCTTACATAACTTACCCCAAAGCAAATTTCTGAGACTTCCTAGGGTTTTAGGGAAGGCAGCGCTACAGCCTTGACCACTCTCACCAAGAATGGCTGGGTGAATCAGAGGCAGCACTGACCCTGATTTGTTTTTTTTAACACAATAATGAAGGGAAATAGGATCAGTTAGCTCCAGGTATCCAGCACCTCAAAGCTGAAAAGCTCAGTCTAAGGGGAAAAAGTGTAATGCTGAAGAGTCTGGTTTAGAGAGACCATCAACGTGACAGTGAAGCCACCTGACAGGAGACCCTCTCCAGAGAATGAAGATCTTCCCACACATGAAGATGTGCCCCCCACTCCCCAACTTCTCACACCACAAGTCAAGAGGAGTTCAAGAAGGAACCAAAGAAAGATGAGTTGGAAGCTTCAAGGTGTCACTTCACTCAAAGCTGGGGGAGGATTTCAATCAATCAATAAAGGTTATCAGCAAAACCCAATCAAAGGGGTTGGGGACAATTCCTGGCCAGCCACTCCTACGGGTACTTGCCTGGCATCAGCCGTGCAGAGCTTCCCTAAAGCTATGGCTGCATTCTCTTGCACAGCCGTCTTTTGGGCATCCCCTGTGGTCACTCTCAAGAGGACTCTGACAACATCCGTGTCCAACAAATTGGTGGCTGTCCCAGGCACCTCCAGACATTTTCCAAGGCAAAAGGCAGCATTGCCTGCCACCCCCTCGTTCGAGCAGCCCAGAAGCTTCAGCAACAGGCTACATTCTGGGGAGAGACAAAACAGACCCAAGTCAAGTCTGGGGAAGAGCGAAAGCTATAAATGAAGATTCAGTCCCTCAGTGCCAAAGGGATGCATGAAAGACAAGATGGAAGAAGGAATGACAGGGAGGGGAAGACCATGGCAATTAAATTATCCATCTCAGAACCTCTGAGCCAGCTGACAAGGAGGTCCATCTGCAGCAGCACCCGGAGCAATGATGCTGCAGGCGGATTAGACGGCTTGGCCAGGAAGCCAGTTGGCACCAGGGCTAAAAAGGTTTGTGCTGGAGAGCATTGTAGCTTTCCAGAAAGAGTCGTCTTGCCAGAAGGAAGGGTTCCTCCAAAGGGAGAAACCAGCAAAATCCGAGGGCTTTCAGTTTTCCCTTCCTCTGTAGCTTGAAGCTTCTGCTCTCATGAAGAGGAAGCAGCACTGCCCACTCTCCATAGACACCCGAGCAGGAGAGATGTTCTAACCACCTGAGTCAAAAGATGTTCCAACCTAAGCACCATTTTCTCTGGCAGCCTCTAATACAGAATTTCTCAATCATTTTATCCTGGAGGAACACTTGAAAAAATTTTCAGGTCTCGGAGAACAACAAATACAAAAACTTCACAATACAATTCATCTCTAGCTACACAATCCATGTTTTACAATGTTTACAACAACAGGCAGGTTGCTGGCTGAATCGTGGTACGTAAAAATCCCCACCACTGCAAGTGCTAGAATTGCATGGTGCACAAAGTTAAAAAAAACCTTATGTTTATTTTATTTTTGCAATCATGACTTCTTGTGGAACCCCAGCTGGATCTGGGAAGGATTCCTCAGAGTAGAGCATGCCCTTTACTCCTCTAAGATGGGGCATGTTCTGTTTACAAAGCTGTTTTTTTTTTAAAAAAAGAGAGAGGATGTAATCCAGAGGCAACCATATCACTTGTCTTCTTTGGCAGCCTGTGGTGGTTGCCCTAGATCAATGTTCTGGGAGTTGAAGTCCACACATCTTAAAGTTGCCAAGTTTGAAAAACACTGCCCTAGATTGAGTAGAAGGGAACAGCACTTACTTTTATCCAGTTTCACAATCTCCATTTGAGCCTGCCAGCTACTCTTGGCACAAGATGCGAGGACCTTCATTGCATAGCCAGGCGTGGTTTGCCCACCAGCCTAGATTGGAGATAGGAAAAGACCCCCATCAAAAGCAGAGACCTGTCTCCAGGGACCCTGTACTGTAGGAACAAGAACAGGGGGCTCAGGAAGACATCACATCACCAAGTATCATTTTAGGCCTCTGGAGACTTTTACTTTTATCCCTCTTTAAACATATTAGCAAAGTCTCATAACAGGATTCAGATTCTGGTGTAACGACTGTGACCATTAAGAAGGATCTAACCCAACCCCTAAGGATATTTGCAATTCCAATTATACTTCTTCAAGGCAAATTTTCACATGTGAATTGCAGGTAAGTTAATGAACCTACCAGCAGATAGGTAAAAAGTTTTTCACTTTCATGAATAACAGTCACTTTTGCTGAATGACAATGTTTTCTAGACGTGCAAAGGCTAGCGCCAAAGTCCTCAAACACTGGAAAATCTTGTCCTTCTTTGCTCCTGAGAAAATATGTCACACTGCTGCTCAAGAGTGGCAGCCTTTGCCTCATTAGAAGGGAGCTGGAGTTGTGGATTCTAACTTCACCACTCCCAGGCTAGACGCAAACAGATGGCTCGCCTTTTCTATTTCTTCACACTTCAGCCTGGAAAGGCTTCTCGTGCCTGCGTTACATATTCACGGCATGCAATATTAGGACCCAAAGCAGGAAATGCTTCAGATCGGAATAGTGCTTACTTCCCTTATATATTAAACCAGGTTTCAATCCTGTTCCTGAGCAAGATCATATATAAAGAGGCAAGTGACTCCATTATGCTGCAACTTCTAAGCATCTGCGGGGGAAGAAGCAAGAGCCCACGAGAAAGATCAGCTTAACCAGCTGAGACCCACCGGAGGTCTGATACTGGGCAGGGGCTTCTGTGGAAGGAACCCTCAGTATTCTGGAGGGGAAGCAAGTTAACACAAGGTAGGGATTAAGTCAGTGTTTCTCAACCTTGGCCACTTTAAGATAGGTGGACTTCAATTCCCAGAATTCCCCAGCCAGCCATTCTGGG